CTGGTATTACGTGGTGCTCTTTGCAGCGCTTTCAGCAACCACTTCGAGTAGGCGAATGGCTGCTGGTCAATACACAACAGGAAATATGAGAGACAGTTAGACGGTGGTGTTGGACAACATGTGTCAGCGTATGTGTGTTGGAATGTATTATTAGGCTCTGCAAATTTCTCAGAGTGTAGGACTGTATGTAAGGGAGTGGTTCTTTGGAAAATCCCTCCTGAACTATCTAATCGCAATATTCATACTTATTAGGATGTTTCAAGTAACTTCGTAATTTTATCCTCCTTTCTCTCAGACTGTATATCATTGTGGCGACAATCAGTCTCGTATCACATGTTGACGTGATCCTTATTGTTTGTCTTTTCCCCTGTTTCATTTCTAATTTCAATGCTTCTCTTCGTGACTGGGCAATGCATTGATAAATGTTAGTTGTAGGATCTTATTTCGTTTGATTGATGTGTCTGCGGGAAGCGTGTTGATCTGTGACACTTGTGGACAAAGTTTTGATCGGGAGATTATCTGGCATGTGCATTTTTGAAGTGATGCCATCTGCTTTCTACTGTCGGTATTAGAGCGTTTCAATAAGTAGGCCGGAATAAAGCAGCATGATTTCATGGAAATTCAATAACATACCTTCAACTTTTGAACTCAACTCGACAAAGACGAGCTTCAAAACCTTTTCAAACAGGTTCAAAAAGCAAGTCCTACACTTTTAACGGGGGGAGGTGATAGGATCCCACACACTTGTTATTGTTCAATTATCTTAACGACTGTTAATCTCGTATAAGTTGTATATTATCATTTCTCACGCATATTGTTATTGTTCAATTATCTTAACGACTGTTAATCTCGTATAAGTTGTATATCATCAATTCCCACACACTTTGCTATTGTCAATTATCTTAATGACTGTTAATCTCGCATATGTGGTATATCATCATTCCCACGCATTTTGTTATTGACTATTACGACTAATTATTTCAAATACTGTTAGCTGTCTCTATTGGTTGTAAAATTGTATAAATACCATTTCCTAAATAAGTTTATTTGTCGTTGTTGTAGTCGTCGTCGTAGTTTGTCGTAGTTTGTCGTAGTTGTTGTACTACAATACACAGTCAGAGACCAGACTTTGTCTGTTGATATTTGCGTGGTTCGCTGAATCGGAAGGTACCAGAAGCAGATAGGCATATTAGTCAGGCGCAGACAGAACAAGACAACAACGTTCCTCATCTAATTCCGACCACAGTTACAACAAATTAGCGACGGGATTTTATCTTAATCCATTGCGTTATAACAGCAATGCATTGATAAATGTTAGTTGTAGGATCTTATTTCGTTTGATTGATGTGTCTGCGGGAAGCGTGTTGATCTGTGACACTTGTGGACAAAGTTTTGATCGGGAGATTATCTGGCATGTGCATTTTTGAAGTGATGCCATCTGCTTTCTACTGTCGGTATTAGAGCGTTTCAATAAGTAGGCCGGAATAAAGCAGCATGATTTCATGGAAATTCAATAACATACCTTCAACTTTTGAACTCATTACCTCCTTCAGTTCATTACACTGCTCAGATATCAGTATCAAACCAGATTCTCCGATATAAGTGCGACAGATGTGACGTCGTTCAAGGGAATGATGTTGCCGATAATGCTTATGTCAGAGAACAGTTTTGATGCAAAATTCCATTCAAAAAGCATATCGAATACATAACTTGTCATTAGGCCACCATAACAATGGACAATAGGGTCACTCCTTTCGATTCCACCTTGTTGGGAATATTCCACTCGATTCTTAGGCAGGTACCTCCCACATTTGAATCTTGGTCGATTGATTTCTGTCCTAGAGTACTTGTTTTGTACCTAGAAGTTACCTCGTCTCTATGGCTGCCTAACGGAACTGTTCAGGTAATTTCATGTTTTTGATTTTATTATTGTCCAATGGAATCACGTAGATCCAGCCACGAATAATTCACACCTAACCAGATAAATCATTAGTCGCTTATCAACGCTGCTTTTAATTGAACGCCAGGGTAAGAAATGCCATGTACTCTGGAGAAAACCAATCATCTCATCACTCATATTACGAAGAGGTGTGACTTGCATTCGGATAGAGCAGGAGTAGCAGGTATATATACATATATATATCAGTCATTGGATGTGACTACTTGAAAGCACAGAGAAGTGTGTGGATTACCCTTTCGTATTTTCGACTCTCTTTTCGTCACCTTAAATCTCTCCAACTCCATCTTTCCAAGGCATATACATGGATTCGGGTTTAGACATCTGCTTCTCCCTTCTTTCATCCTTCAGCATACCATACATACACATCACCAGTGAACTGAGAAACAAAATTCGAGTCATTGTACTTCCACTGGAGCACAATTGTCGTGATAGGCCAGCAAGCCTCGCATCAGCAGCATACGTTGGGTAAATTTTCTCGAGATATTCCTCTCGATCGTGTATCTGAAATGGTTGCCTGTATAACTCAAGTAACTGCCTATCGAAAGTACTCTTCCCTGACTGAGTTGAATTCGTGTGCTCAGAAGAGAATACCAATGACCACTGTTCACCATTTACCTTCGTGTTGTATAACCTTTCCAACTGAAGTGTTTGTTATATGTGTCAGTAATAAGCAATACCAGGGCGCTGATATTTCCACTGATGAGAAGTGGCCTGTGGATAATTACTCTCCAGTCTTTTTCGGATTCTCCGCTCTAGGCAATACGGAACTGAGTTTTTTTTAACCGATATTCTGTGTCATTGTATTGCAGACGCAATATGTTTTTTTCGTTGAATCTATTTGTTTAATTTAGTTCTAATCTGCGCCTATATTTTTTCGGCGGATGAAACATTTCGTTTTATGGAGATGGTGTTTTCCTTACTATTATTTTTAATACGGTGATAACTACCTGTTCTTGGATTAGTCACTCATGATTCGAATTGTAAACTGTAAGACAGATACTGGTTGCTTGAGTCCACTTGACATATTTTCTTGTTTCCTGCAGGCTAATTATATTAGTTTAAAACCAAAAGAATTAATCCTTGTAATTGTCATCTACCGTAAGTCATCGGTATTTAATTTACTAAATTTATCTCCATAATGGATAAGATTTTATTTTAATAAATCACACAGTGTTGTACAGTTAAATTAACTGATGACGTTTACTAAATTTATCATTATGAATTAGTGTAGAAGCCTTCATGATGAATTCATATGCATTGTTTGTATCCTTCAAGGTGTTTTGAGTACGAAAATTACACATTTTTCTGTCCTTTGTAAACATTTTTTAAACTCCAGCCTTGTTCAGGCCTTTTTAAGGAGGCAATTTAATTTTTGTAAACTTTTGTACCCATTTTTAGATGGTGTAGACACACACACACACTTAATATTTCCGTGCATTCCATGGTATCTGAAAGTTTTACTGTTGCAAAAAACTAGCCGTTGTTTTCGTCCACAAAATTCACTTGTCAGTGTGTTTGCGCCATCTTATGCACATAAACTCTTTTTTGTCAGACTATTTGTGTCAGAAACGTCAACAGTTTGAAAGCATTATAAGCTAACAGAAAATTTTTTACCGCAAAATAAATTATTTTGGAGGAGAAAAGAGAAACAACATCGCTTCAGAATAACACGGATCCACTTTTATTTAGTGGTTGCTTTTCAGTTGTGAACAGAAGATTGAAACTGTGTATCGAAACATAATGAGTAGATAAGTTATTGATAAAACAAGCTTGCTGGGCTTTTGTTTCATTAAACTTGAATAGGTGGGACAGAGGTGGTAATTAACGGTTTTAGTTTCCCCAGGTAGTCGGTCTGATGTAATTTTGTATTATGTGTTTAGAGGAACCCTGTAACTACATCTGATGTTGGCTTCGACTGTTTCAAAGGTGTTTTATCGACTTTCTTTTTACATTACTTGAATATCTGTTGTTGTGTCTGCTATTTCTGTTTCACGATCTTTCTTGTCACCGACCCGATGGTCTGGGTCGGATTCTAACTAGTCCGCTTGCATGAAAACGGTGTAGCAGCCAGGTCCTGCCACTCCTACTAACGGAGAAGGCCCCAAAGTCCCAGGTTATCTACTTTAACCTCCTAAGTGGGGAAAGCATCGAGTGCCCAACTTGGGTTTTCGTCCACTTAGGCCAACCGGTTCTCACTACACACCCTTCTTTGCTGTTGTGTCTGCTATACTATAAGCGAAAACACCTCACTATTGCTTTTATCCTCATCCATAGCAACATTTTTTTATTTTTTATCTATTTATTTAATACTAAATTCATTCAATGTATCGTAAAGTTTATCTTAAATCTGAAGGTAGTCTATTTTTGCATCATTGTTAACGGCTTTTGTAACAGTCTGACAGAGTGATGGCTGACTCTTTACACATACGAGTGGTAGAATTTTCGCCAACCACGCATGTGGTTTGGGGTTCGATCCTCAGTCAACACACCTAACCTAATTTACTAGACAATTGTAATTCTGAGGCTAGCAACCCCACCCTATAAAAACAACACCTCAGATACTGAATCTCCAAGGTTTCAAGCCTGGTGGCCTATGTTCCACTAGGAACGCAGACGACTGAAGAAGAACGTTACCTGTGATCAACAAATCCTGGTATCCATCACTACCATAATGTCATAATTCAAATTATCGAATCAAATCGAATTGTTTACAGAGTGTCAGTAAGTGATATATCATCCTTCGGGAAAGTGGAACGAAATGTAGTAGAAAGCAAGAGAATAGATACACATGAACAGAAAACAGCTACCAGGTCAACAGAATAATAATAATGATAATAGGTTTGCAGAAGTAGTAATAGTTAGTAGCTACATTATAATTCGTTAGTTTTGATTTCATGAGCTACAAAGTAATAAAAGTTATATGTGGTGAATGTTTGTATGTGTGTGTGTACAGTTTAGGTATCTTCGACATCAGGTCAATATTAATACCAAACATAGGATATGATAGCTAAATATTAAGACACTATCTCCCTTTATAAAAGTGTTCATTTGCATTAAATGTGAAGAAGAGAAGAGAAGTCCAGTACAGTAATTTTGAAAGTAAAATGTTTGGCTGTATATTACTTCTGCATAAAACAGTTTTAAAGAATGACACTGCTTCTGACACAATATGTGTATGTCAGTGTGTACACCAACACATAAAGGTTCGGTTGTATTTTTGTTAACCAATAATATTACACATCAAAAAGGCTATAAAAGACTACGGTTTACTAACTTGGAAAAAATTCTTATTCTAGTGTTTGCGTATTACTTCTCATATTAATTATTTACAAAAATGGTAAGTTTAATACATTAAAATAATTCTTATTCTTATTATTAGCGTGAATGTATCAGTATACATGTTGGGCAGGCTGGAGTACAAATGGGCAATGCATGCTGGGAATTGTACTGTCTAGAACATGGTATCCAACCTGATGGTCATATGCCAAATAATAAAGAAACTGAACGATCTGATGATGCTTTCAATACATTCTTCAGTGAAATGAGTTCAGGAAAGCATGTACCACGTGCTGTATTCGTTGACTTGGAACCGAATGTAGTCGATGAAGTGAGAACTGGATCATATAAAGAACTATTTCATCCAGAACAATTAATTACTGGTAAAGAGGATGCTGCTAACAATTATGCACGTGGTCATTATACAGTGGGAAAAGAAATTATTGATCTAGTTATGGAACGTATTCGAAAATCTGCTGATCAGTGTACAGGGTTACAGGGTTTCTTGATTTTTCATTCATTCGGTGGTGGTACAGGCTCAGGATTTACATCTTTACTGATGGAAAGATTAAGTGTGGAGTATGGCAAGAGGTCAAAATTAGAGTTTGCTGTGTATCCGGCGCCTCAGATAGCAACAGCTGTAGTTGAACCATACAATTCTATTCTGACAACACATACAACTCTAGAACATTCTGATTGTGCTTTCATGGTGGATAACGAAGCCATTTATGACATATGCAGGTATATACTTTTGCTCATCATACATATTTATACTTTTTAATTTCGTTTTCTAGAAAAAATTTAGGAATAGGTCATCCAACGTACACAAATCTGAATAGACTAATTGCTCAGATTGTTAGTTCAATTACTGCTTCACTTCGTTTTGATGGAGCTTTAAACGTTGATCTAACAGAATTTCAGACAAATTTAGTTCCATATCCTAGAATACACTTTCCACTAGCAACTTATGCACCAATCATTTCAGCAGACAAAGCTTATCATGAACAAATGAGTGTTGCAGAGATTACAAATTCTTGTTTTGAGACAGGTAATCAAATGGTGAAATGTGATCCACGCACTGGTAAATATATGGCTTGTTGTTTGTTGTATCGTGGTGATGTCGTTCCTAAAGATGTCAACGCAGCAATCGCAAACATCAAGACTAAAAAGACAATACAATTTGTTGACTGGTGTCCAACAGGTTTTAAAGTTGGAATTAACTATCAGCCTCCGTTAACAGTGCCCGGTGGAGATTTGGCTAAAGTTCAAAGAGCAGTGTGTATGTTGAGTAATACAACTGCAATTGCAGAAGCATGGGCACGTTTAGACTGGAAATTTGATTTAATGTATGCAAAACGTGCTTTTGTTCATTGGTATGTTGGTGAGGGTATGGAAGAAGGTGAATTCAGTGAAGCACGTGAAGATACAGCTGCTTTAGAAAAAGATTACGCTGAGGTCGGTTGTGACACTGCGCTAGTCGACGATGAAGAACAAGAATTCTAATGTTTGTTTTGATGATGTATGTATGCTATTCATGTTGTTACTGACACTTTGTTTTGTCTTCTTTGAAAATGTTATTTCTCCTCTGTTTACTGACAATCACGTAATTAATATATGATCAATACTCCAAGTTGTTTTTTTCCTTCTTCTCTCTGCTAGTCGCTGTCGTTGTTTATAGATAGTCACACAAATAGCCAACAAGTAATATTGTCAGAATTCATGCGAACAGTAACTGTTATAATTTTCAAAATTTCTACTGCTAATTTAACAAAACTGCTGAGGATAGGTTGAGGTGACACATACTTTATATTTCACAAAGTATTTAGAAACAGTAACATACTGGTAGAATAAATATATTCCTTTTCAATTAGTACCTCATTTCAACGGAGCTACACTAATAATACAGCAATCAAATGTTGAGGTGTTAGTGAGTCAGTAAGAAATATCATTCTCGAGGTATAACAAAGGTGAAAGTAAGTAGGGAAATCATTATTATTATTAATTTAAAATACCAAACTTCACTAGTTTTAGCAATATTTCTATGAAACCTTAATGAGGATTGCACAAAAATAGGTTTTTGTGTCTGGGATTTATTTTCACTTATCTGATAATTCATCAATTCTAAACTGTTCTGAACATCGGAATGAATTGCAAGATTTAGCTGATACAGGCAGGGTGAAATAATTTCCATTTGATAAAGGAATGTGTATCAGTCATACTCGAAGAGATGTGTTATAGTATACGCTATTGAAATATATATATATAATATATGTATATATATAGTTGATTGACCGTTAGATTTCGTCCCAGTGACTAGACGGTCAATGAGCTTGACTCGTAACCTTAAGATTCTGGGTTCGTTCCCCAGTGGGGTCATAGGTGAGCACGGCTGAAGAGTCTTTCCACTACTTCTAATGCACTCTACTTAATCACATTGATTAGTCATTCTCTCATAATTATCACATCATGCCAACTTCTGCCCCCCGCTTTTGTAATTTCCCATTAGTCAACCCTTCTAGACTACACCTTATAATTAAGGAATACGTTTTTGAGGACAAATTTTACCAGTATCTGATTAGTCTTAATGAAAATGAATATTCGAAAAGAAAATTTTTTTCCCGATGTTTACGTCTTTTTCTTATGAAGATTTTTCACTCATAAATCGATTAATGTTAGCATACATTAGCTAGTGAAGGGAAATTAGAATTGTATCAAATAGTTTATTGTGGTACAAGTACAAGATCGAATAATAGTCATTTAGTTTTGATTATCGTTTATAATACGCATGATCAATCAGAACATGAGATGAAATAGTTCAGTGATGTGAGTGAATATATGTAGCCAACAAAAGTACAGGTTTCGAGAGTGAGTGTAGTCAGTGGTGTGTGAGACAACATGAATACTACGGAAAAATAAACCAACAAATGCGATAGACTAGACGTAAGTTCAAAGGTGACAAATAACAATAATAACGATGGTGTAGTGTTAAACTTAAAAGTACTATTAGTAAACGATTACCAGAGGTAACAAAGAATTCAGTAAAGTGAAATAAAAAGGACTGTGTAAATACAATAACAAGTTTGAAAAACATAACGTAAACCTAAGGTAGCACACAAAATAAGTGGACTCATGAAGTCGTAACGGGTCAGAAATGAACGTTTGTCAGTGAAACAAAAGGGAATAAGAAGAGGGGAAATGGGATAGGAATTTAAAGTACTAATGTTTATGGAGGACTTATTGACCTTATTGTAGGCCAAGGTAAACATAGAGGTTAGACGTAATTCTTCTATAGGCAGAGATCAGGTCTTTTGGTATTGATTGCTACCGCTTCAGCTACTGATATAAGACGTGGTTGATCCCCTCTTGAAAGATTGCCAGGAACGCGATAGATAACCGAGAATGCCTGTTCTGATTGAGTATCTAGTATCTACCAGGTAGGCCAAGACTGTACTGTTTACACATTTGGTTTCCCCTTTACTCAGTCATACCAGTACCTGTTCATGTACGCGCATGGATTAGCCATCTGAGTACAGCCAACGTAACTAGCTCAGGAGGAATAGTTGAACTCATAGATGTACACTGATGAGGCTATCATTGGTAGTTTATCCTTGACTCGCTGTGTAAATACTGGTCTAGTTAAGCATACAATGTTTATGAAAATTCATAAGTCATATAAATGCAGAAAATCAGTTTCTTTCACTTTTCAAGTATCGATTACTTTTATTCATATGATATCAGAGAAATATAGACAATTAGATGTTCATCTAGTGCAGCTGACAGTGTTTGTTTTCACTTTCACATAATTAAAGGAGCTATTATCAAATAAAAAAGCCAAATTGTTTGAAAGAAAAAAAAAATAACACTTTACATAATATTCTTGATAAGGATTTAGAAGATTTATTTAAAATATGATTAATTGCTTTAGAAAGATGTCATTTAGATTACATGTCACGTTATACAGTACGCGCGAAAATGAAATTTTGAAAGTGATTTTTATGTGAATGACGTTGAGAAAAGTTTTTAGGTTTGAAGATCACGTTTTATGGTTTAAAGTTTAGCTATTAATTGTCTCGTCTATTCAAAACGCTAAGAATAACTTATGTCAAGCATAATTCAAGTTCATCTTTGTATTGATTAAAGAATATACCTTGCTCTCCTACCATACCGTGAAACACTTCGTCTTGTAAAGTCTTGACGTATAAGGAGATCACTGAAATCTACATGAAGTCAAAAACGTAAACGATAGCTGAACTCTCATGGCATTCCAGAAGAACTGCATACATTCCAGTTAACTCACTTCAAGTTTCGCCCAACGATGGTGGACATTTGGTCACTTAAACGTTCTCTTAGTGTGGCTGTGCTTTATTCAGATCGGGTGATGAGTAGCTTAGTTTCGTTACCACATTGCCAAGCTGATTGATAGAATCCAGTGGGCATGAAAGACTAGATGAAAAATAAATTATTCTTTTCTGAGATCAGGATGACTCCTCTGTTCGAGGATGGGTGACGCCGGTGGAAGAAGGTCATCGGGAAGCCAATTGGCCGACGAGTATCTCCTCGATGAAGTAAAGGTTGACATTGGGAATGTAGAATTTCTGCACTATGTTTTAGGTTGACAAGGCTGCTCAGATTGCAGAAAAGAAAAGAGAACTTATAATACAGAATTGCAAGGATTTCTGAGAGCAGGTGGAATGCAAATGGACTATTAAAATTGATAACTGGTGAACCAGTAGTTTACTCCAGTCACCCAGGCGACAACCAAGCGCACACTGAGGCTTAGGCTATCATAATGTGTCAGTCAACATATAATATTTTCGAGTGGTGCGAAGTGATCCCCACAGGATCACTACAATAAGATTTAACTCAGAAGCAAGGGAAGTTACAATCAAACAGTACTACGTACAATACTGAAAATGACTCAGACTTGTCCAGATAACTACAAAACAGTAATGAACAAGACCCAAGTAAGACGGTGACATCGAAATTCTACTGGGTGGTAAAATTCAAGACAAAATTTGATCAGACATTACAGGAAGAGAAGTCATCACGGATTGAGAGGTGCTTCGTGAAATAAACGAAAATGGATAACTCTTTGCAGACTTCTACACATTCAGTAATTTAGTGATTGGAGACAACGTGTACAAACACAAGGACATTCATAAGGTGACATCATTTCCAGATGATGGACACCCTAAAATTCAGAGAGACTTCACCTCAATCTAAAACAGGTGGAAACAGAGCCTTCTGTTCACAAGATTAAGCAGCTGGGCAGATGTAGTCTAAGACCACTATCTAGTTTAAAAAACCTTTAAAGAAGCTGAAGATAGACCACAATTTGAGCTAATATCCAGGATCTGAACGACGAAGCTACAAAGGATACCTTTACATAATTCATCAGGAAAATTTGAACAGATCAAGAACGACAAAATCAACAGGATAGTATGACATCACTTCATTTCGTCGGTTCTTCTGAAGTGCATACAATTTCAACATCAATATAAAAAGTATTCGAATAATTTAGTTATTGATTATTAAGGTTAAGGACAATAAGATTACGGAATTAATTAGCATTCTGGAAAAGAATGAGAGTCGGTGTTAAGCTTGATGCTATACATAAAGATAATTACAGAATACTCTAAAAATGTAGAATGTAGATTAAGTTTACTTTAAGAAAGATGAAAACTAGAAAACTTAATACTTGTAGTAAATAATTTTAGTGTAGCAAATTGTACTGTTGCATGTATTGTTTTTAGGAAGACAACTATTACATTAAATTACTATTTGATTAGTTTTAATGTCTCTTATTAAAGCGGAAATCATCACGGCTGACTAACTGTCCAACTAGCCTCAAAAATAAAATGACTGCATTCACAATTTTCTATTCATTTGAGTGATCTTATAATTTGTGTACCTCAACAACTTGTTGCTCCCCTTGTTCCCTACTACTTGTCTTATTCGAGGAACTTCGGTCACATTTATCAGTACATGAGAGGAGTTGAGTAAGGGTGTTAGAGTTGCGTAATAAAATGAAGTGTTCTATGAATGAATTGTAATCAGGATATACATGGAAAGGAAAGGAAATGTGATATTATATAAGAGTTCGAAAAAATACAAGTGTGATAAAGAGTTAAAAAAAAAACAAAATTAGGTTGGTAAAAAACAGTAATGTTGTTATTGTGGTAACAGAAGTGTCTGAATAAACACAGCTCCGGTTTCTCAATCTGAATAGCTAGAGTTTCAGTAATGCAAAGGAGACAATAGCATATTGTATTTGGTAGGTTGTTTTTCACTTTATGAATTACTGAGAAGCAGGAGTTTGTTTAGATGCAATGACAAGATGTTCAATTATCACACTACCCACAGAGCCACTGTCGCGTTTCTACAATCATGCTGGGTAGTGTTCTTGAACACTTTTAGATAGGATACAGGTGGAGAAACCAATATACCTGGCTCCACAGAAACAGGTGAACTGATATATTTGCACAGAATTGGACAGATGAGAGAGACATGATCTTGGTCTTTAGGCTTCTGTAGAGCTTCTGGAGAACACTACTCCTGACGTGGCCACGAAGAGTGTTCTTCTTAGAGATGATGGAATTATTTTCTTAAGGAGACTGTGGGTTGAGTCACCCTTATAATGAGGTTCCATGTAATGTTTCTTTTCTGGAACAAGTAATGTTTCACTTCTTTCAACTTTTGGCCTGATATTTTTGTCGATGAATCTCAGCAATTATCCATTTTGTATGGAAATTTCTTTTCGAAGGTCTAGTTCTGCTTTTAAGGCGTCAGATCTACAGATGTGTTGGATTCCAGTGGCAAGGGATTTCGTTAAATTTCATGTTCGTTCTAACAAAACCATAGTTAAAAACACATAGGTTTCTAATTATCCATTCACTGATATAATTT